AACTCCTGACCTCAGGTGATCTGCCTGCCTCAGCCTCCCAAACTGCTGGATTACAGGCATGAACCACTGTGTCAAGCCTGGGTGTAGCATTTTTAAGGTGAATTATCAGTGTTAAGTGCTAATGGTTAATAGATTATAAAGTAGTAAACTTTAGTATAACTCAGTAAAATGGTAAAGTGTAGTGTACTATGTAGACTTAGATTGTTTTACAGTTTTGTATACTGACATGCTAAATGCCAAGACTAGAAACCAACACATAGTAGGTTCTCAATAAATATTTGTATTTTAATGAATTAATCTCAGTTGATTAATTAACTGTCTTAACTGTTAGGATGGGATTGTCTTCCTAAATTTGGTTATTATTTCATTCAATAAAACTCAATTTCCATTCAAGACTGATTTTAAAATATGCCTTGGCTGGGCGTGGTGGCTCATGCCTATAATCACGAGGTGGGTGGATCACCTGAGATCTGGAGTTCAAGACCAGCCTCACCAACCGGGAGAAACCCCATCTCTACTAAAAATACAAAATTAGCCAGGTGTGGTGGCACATGCCTGTAATCCCAGCTACTCCGGAGGCTGAGGCAGAACAGCTTGAACCCAGGAGGCGGAGGTTGCGTTGAGCAGAGATCGAGCCATTGTACTCCATCCTGGGCAACAAGAGCTGATCTCCTTCTCAAAGAAAAAAAATTATATATATATATATATATATGCCTTAAACTATAATGTAATGTACATAAACACACATATACCAAAGACTAGTATACACTGATACATGTAGTCAGGAAGAGGAAATATATGGCCCTGTTGGAATCAAGTGATATATGTAGTTAATCAAAATTTTCTTGTATTAGTTAATTCATTTAGTCTTAAGTATTACTTTATTCCCAATAGTGAGAGAACATAGTTAATGAGAGTCTAATGATTTACATCTTTAAATATCTTCCCATTGTGTGCCCCTTCTTTTCCTATAATACAAGCAAACAGGCAAGTAATAATAATAATAAATAAATAAACCCAATAGCTTCCTTTTCTTTACTTTAATTTTATTTTTTTTAAAGATGGGGTCTCGTCAGGCGTGGTGGCTGATGCCTGTAATCCCAGCACATTGGGAGGCCGGGGCGGCGGTGGGGGGGGGTGGTGGATCACGAGGTCAGGAGTTCGAGACTAGCCTGGCCAAGATGGTGAAACCCCATCTCTACTAAAAATAAAAAAATTAGCAGGGCATGGTAGCAGGTGCCTGTAATCCCAGCTACTCAGGAGGCTGAAACAGAGAATTGCTTGAACCTGGGAGGTGGAGGTTGCAGTGAGCTGAGATAGTACTACTGCACTCTAGGTTGGGCAATAGAGCGAGACTCTTGTCTCAAAAAAAAAAAAAAAAAAAAAAGGGATAGGGTCTCTGTTACCTAGGCTGGACAGCAGTGGTAAGCTCATACACAGCTCACTGCAGCTTTAGACTCCTGGGTTCAAGCATTCCTCCTGCCTCAGCCTTCCTAGTAGCTGGGACTACAGGTGCACACCACTATGTCCAACTAATGTTTTTTTTCTCTTTTTTGCCCAACTAATATTTTAACTTATTTGTAGTGAAGGGGTCTCATTATGTTGCCCAGGCTGGTTTCAAACTTCTGGGCTCAAATGATCCTCCTGCCTTGGCCTCCCAAAGTGTTGGGATTATAGGTGTGAGCCACATGCCTGGCCAGGAATACACTTTAAAATTTATAGTGTCAACAAGAGTTGGAAGGAGTGCCTGTTTTGTTTTTTTTTTTTTTTTGAGACGGAGTTTCGCTCTTGTTACCCAGGCTGGAGCGCAATGGCGCGATCTCGGCTCACCGCAACCTCCGCCTCCTGGGTTCAGGCAATTCTCCTGCCTCAGCCTCCTGAGTAGCTGAGATTACAGGCACGCGCCACCATGCCCAGCTAATTTTTTGTAGTTTTAGTAGAGACGGGGTTTCACCATGTTGACCAGGATGGTCTCGATCTCTTGACCTCGTGATCCACCCGCCTCGGCCTCCCAAAGTGCTGGGATTACAGGCTTGAGCCACCGCGCCCGGCCCAGGAGTGCCTGTTTTAAAAAAAGAAGAAGGTATAGTACATACATAAACCGGTAACAGCCACGTATTTTGAAGTATTCTGTACTGCACATAATTGTACTGCTCTCCTTTTACACCCATGGCAACACCGTAGGTTTGTTTATACCAGCATAACTGCAAACACGTGAGTCCTGTGTTGCAATAAGACCTTAGGACAGCGACAGTATCACTAGGCAAAAGGAATTTTTCAGCTCCATTATAATCTTATGGGGACCACCACTGTATATTGGGTCCGTAGTTGACTGAAACATGGTCATGCCGTGCATGACTGTGATCATTTGTTTTCATAGACATCATAGCAGTTACCTCATTTTGTTTTGGTAGGGTGAAATAACTACATAAAACTTTCCAACTTCTTGTACTTGTCATCTTTAAATGTTCCTTTGGCCGGAATCCTATTATTACCTTCTGAAGAATGAATGATGGCTCTTTTTCAATCTGGGTTGGGCTTAGACTAAATTGTATTTCATTTTTAATTAGTGGATACTCTATCTATTAGAGATGGGTCAGCAGCCTATTTGCTGATTGATAATTGGCAGCTGGTTGAAAAAATATATATATATATTTGTTGTTTTTATTTTTTTGAGATGGAGTCTCACTCTGTGGCCCAGGCTGGAGTGCAGTGGCCCAGTCTCAACTCACTGCAACCTCTGCCTCCATGGTTCAAGCGATTCTCCTGCCTCAGCCTCCTGAGTAGCTGAGACTACAGGCGCCCGACACCACGCCCAGCTATTTTTTTTTTTTTTCTTGAGATGGAGTCTCGTTCTGTCACCCAGGCTGGAATGCAGTCGTGCAATGTTGGCTCACTGCAACCTCCACCTCCTGGGATCAAGCAATTCTCCTGCCTCAGCCTCCTGAGTGCTGGCGACTACAGGCACCAGCCATCATACCCAGCTAACTTTTTTGTATTTTTAGTAGAGATGGGGTTTCGCAGTGTTAGCCAGGATGATCTCAATCTCCTGACCTCATTATCCACCTGAGTTGGGCTCCCAAAGTGCTGGGATTACAGGCGTGAGCCACCATGCCTGGCCTGTTGGTGCTTTTAAAAATGGGGTCTCACCATGTTGCCCAGGCTAGTCTCCAATTCCTGGTCTCAAGCAATCCTCCCACCTCAGCCTCCCAAAGTGCTGGGATTACTGGTGTGAGCCACCATGCCTGGCCACTTTTTGCTGTTTGGGGAAAAAATAAAGACATTTCTTGGTGGAAGGACTATTGTAGCAACAAGCTTTTCATGAATTGTAGTGTCTCCCAATATGCCATTTGTTTTGGCTGAAAAAACCAAGTCCAGGTTGAATGCAGATTTCCTCCTCTTATTACTTTTCTGCCCTCAAGCCTGACACAGCTTCCAATGACTCAATCACATGAATGTGAGATTAATGTATTATAGTTCCCTCAAATACTATTTTACTTCCAATAAAAGAATTGTGGAAATGGGTAAAAAATTGAGAACAAGGGTAAAAGGAATGTGGGTGTTCCCGTATCTCCCCAAGTTCTACCAATTGTCTGTTTCTGAAGCGCTGTCTACATTTGGCCCACTTCTTTCCTGTGTCTCTTCCTTTCAAAGGTTGGCTGTGGGGCCAGGTGCGGTGGCTCATGCCTGTAACCCCAGTACTTTGGGAGGCTGAGGGGGCGTGGATCACAAGGTTAGGAGTTCAAGACCAGCCTGGCTAAGATGGTGAAACCCCCATCTCTACTAAAAATACAAAAATTAGCTCTGTGTGGTGGTGGGTGCCTGTCATCCCAGCTACTTGGGAGGCTGAGGCAGAGAATTGCTAGAACCTGGGAGGTGGAGGTTACAGTGAGCTGAGATTGCACCTGGGCATGCAGCCTGGGGGACAGAGTGAGCCTCTGTCTCTAAATAAATAAATAAATAAATGGCTGTGAAGGGTGTTTAGCACGTCAAATAATGGCCTCCAAGAAAGGAGTGAGCTTTGATTCCAGTCAGTCCTCCGTTCTTTGCTGGAAACTCTGAGTCTGATAAATAGGCAGATGGGATGTGGCTGCAGTTTAATCTCCTCTACATAACCCAATTAAAGACTGAGGTACAGATCCTCCCGATGAGTTAGCTTATCAGGCATTACTTTACTTGGCTGTCAAATATCTAGCTAGGGGGAAGATAGCACCTGAGAGAAACAATTATCTTTAAGAAGGACCAAGTGGGCTGCAGGAGGAAGAGCAGGCATACCTGGAGAGTTTAGTGGTAAGTTAGTGGTGGAAGGAGGCAGGAAGTTAGGACAGGAGAGCAGAAAAGAAAATAGATTAATCAGATTTGGAAACTTGTCTTGATCTTTCAAAGGTTGGCTGTGGGGCTGGGTGCAGTGGCTCATGCCTGTAACCCCAGCACTTTGGGAAGCTAAGGGGGTGTGGATCACGAGTTCAGGAGTTCAAGACCAGCCTGGCTAAAACCGTGAAACCCCATCGCTACTAACAATACAAAAATTAGCTGGGTGTGGTGGCACACGCTTGTCATCCCAGCTACTTGGGAGATTGAGGCAGGAGAATCGCTTGAACCCGGGAGGCAGAGGTTGCAGTGAGCCAAGATCATGCCACCACTGCACTCCAGCCTGGGTGACAGAGCAAGACTGTCTCCGGGCGGGCGGGAGGAGGCCGGGGGCGGTGGCTTAAGCCTGTAATCCCAGCACTACTGTGGGAGGCTGAGGCAGGTGGATAACTTGAAGTCAGGAATTTGAGACCAGCCTGGACAACATATAGTGAAACCCGTCTCTGCTAAAAAATACAAAAATTAGCTGGGCACGCCTGCAGTCCCAGCTACTTGGGAAGCCAAGGCAGGAGAATCGCTTGAACCTGGAGGTGGAAGTTGCAGCAAGCCGAGATAGCACTAATGCACTCCAGCCTGGGCTACAGAGCAAGACACTGTCTCTCTCTCTCAAAAAAAAAAAAAAAAAAAAAAAAGATTTATAGTACAGCTAAAATTTTTCACAACAGATTTTTTCTTCCCTAATCATTTGGCTATTTGTCTTTAACTCTTACAGAAAAGTTGGTCATAGTCCTGGTTTTGATTACCCATCTCAGTGTCATTGATTGTGCCACCTAAATTTTTCTGGACCTTTTGTTGGTTGAATGAGAGGGTTGGATTATGTGATCACCGGGGACTTTCTAATCGTCAACTCCTAGAACATACATTTTGTGGATTCAGTCTTTGAGTCTAGCTCACTTACTCGGTTTCCTAAATATAATGCCTTCTATTTGGAGCAAATATGGTATACTTTTATTACTAAGAATATATCACTTACTCCTAATGTGAGCTGACTGCAAAGGTTATAATTGTAATAATTCATTGCATTTCTCGTCTATTTACAAATATACATGCTCTCCATAGATAATTATATCTGCTCCTCACAACAGCTTTATAAGGTGGATTTTTTTTTTTTTTTTTTTTTTTTTTTTTTTTTTTTTTGGGGACGGAGTTTCGCTCTTGTTACCCAGGCTGGAGTGCAATGGCGCGATCTCGGCTCACCGCAACCTCCACCTCCTGGGTTCAGGCAATTCTCCTGCCTCAGCCTCCTGAGTAGCTGGGATTACAGGCACGCGCCACCATGCCCAGCTAATGTTTTGTATTTTTAGTAGAGACGGGGTTTCACCTTGTTGACCAGGATGGTCTCGATCTCTTGACCTCGTGATCCACCCGCCTCGGCCTCCCAAAGTGCTGGGATTACAGGCTTGAGCCACCGCGCCCGGTCCTATAAGGTGGATTTTAAAGCTCCCATTTTATGGAGGAGGAAGCTAAGGCTCACACGGTTTTGATTCATCCAAGGTCAAATAGGTAGCGTGGAGGAACCAGAATTCCAGCCCTGTGTGTCTGGCAACAAAGCCTTTATGTTTAAAAAAACATTAATGAAGCCGTATATATTTTCTAATTCTAAGGATCATGGACATTGTTTTTCAGCCATAGATTTTTTTTTCCCCCTTTCTTAAATCATTAGCTCTTGTCTTTGATTTTACTATCTGCTTACTTCCTGCCCACTTAACCAATCGACAGGGAAGAGAGTAGCAAGAGGTAACTGTTTTTATGTAAAGTGCCTTTTCAGAGTCTAATTTACAGCCAAGAACAGCAAAAGGACCCCTTGGCTTTGTGCCTCTGCGGCGCTCTGGAGACCTCCCGGGTCCCTCTTCCTTTCCGAGAAGCCGCGTTCAGTCGTTGAACTACGTTTCCCAGCGTGCCGCGCGGCCGAGAGCGTGGGCTCGACCAGTCCTTGCTCTGCCTATCAGCTCGTCGCAGCGTGATGATGTAAATGCGTCGGGCACTGGTGAGTGACGACATTCTGGCTCGCGACCGCAGCAGTCGCCTTAGCAGCGGTAATAGGCGCAACGGCGGCGGCGGCGGCGGCTGCAGAGACGACGACGACGACGGCGGGGCGGGCGCTGTGCGCACAGGGGAGGGGTAGGCGGGCGGCGCCAGCGGCTTCAACTGCGGCAGCTACGGCTAGGGCGACGGAAGAACCCCCACCAGCCGGCGGTCGAGTTAGGCCTCAGCAGCGCCGGGAGCTGTTCGCGCTGTCCTCTGCGGAAGATCTCCATAGAGACCGTGACATACACAGAGGCGGGGGTCCGCAGAGGCGGCCGGACCGGAGCCAGCTCCTTGGCCTCTGCGGCCGCCACCCCCTTCCCGGCTGCCAGCACTCACCCTCTGTCTCCGCTCCTGCTCTCAACCTCGCGGTTCCTGGGGTGCCTGTGCCCACTGTGTGGACAGCGCGGGCGGACTTTTGGGCCGGGGCCGGGCGGGGGGGCGCTCTAAGGCCTCCGCCTCTGCCTCTCCCGCCCCCTTACCCGCCCCGGAGCGGGAAGCGGCGGAGGCTCCGCCATGGCCTCAGGAGCCGGAGGAGTCGGAGGGGGCGGTGGCGGCAAGATCCGGACCCGGCGTTGCCATCAGGGGCCAATTAAGCCTTACCAGCAGGGTCGACAACAGCACCAGGTATGGGACCCGACGACGTGGTGGTCTGGCGGGTAGGGAACTCGGCAGGAGGGGACAGGCGGTTCGAGGCCCCGGCGCCCCACGTGGAGCAGACAGGAGGGCCTGAGGAAAGGCCCGAGTGAGGCTCCGGGGGAGCTCAAGCCATTGGGGGTGGTGACGGGAAGTGGGCTGAAACAGGCCCAGCCTTGCAGCGCACACGTGTGGTTTGGGCCGCCTTTCCCCCAACCCTCTGGGCCAGGGGCTTTCCCAGGCAGGCTCTGGGCGGGAAAAGAAATTGTAGGCCTAGGGTGCGCGCGTTTCTTTCTTTTTTGGCGGGGATTGGGAGTTCGAGGGTATTACGTCCTTTCGAGGGAGAAAGGAAAAGATGTGATTGACGGCCCTTATGCTTACTGTTTTCTAGTGTCTCTTCTTCAGTGTGTGTGGGGAGCGGGGTAGCCCCGAAGAATCTTAACTCTGGGGCGGACGAGGAGTTGTTGGGGGCGCTGTTAAAGTGGAATAACTTAATCTCAGCCTCTGGATTAATTCTCGGTTTCCCCTGCCCGTCTCCCTCGTTTTGAGAACATTGGCTTATGTTTTCCTAACCAGGTTATAGTCAACCATGGCACTGGGGCATTTTGAAAGTCCCTCTCCACCCTTACGTCTTTTCTCTGCTGCGCGACTCCCCCCCTCTTATTTTGGAGGCTGGAATTGGCCATTCTCCACAGTTGATCGGGACTCCAGCTCTGATCTCATACACAAAATATGTTAATATTATGGGGCGTATTTTAGAAGTTTAGTTATTTTCGACACTTCAGGAATGTTGATGATCTTATAGTTGGGCCACTGTGTGCACTCTTGGATGTTTAAAATGTAAAAAAAAGATAATCCTAATTGTAAATGGGATCGTTGATTCTGAGAAAATTCCATTTTTAAAATACTGCTTGTTAGAAGGATTAAGGAAATGTTACAACACTTACTTTAATAAAGCCATTTAAAAAACTTATCAATGACATAAGGTGGGAAGTGTGTGTCTTAAATTTGTTAAAAAACAAAAATGTAGCAAAAGGATCTGATAACTTGTTGCCTACTGTTAAAGGTAGACTTCCTAGGTTAGTTTATTCTGGATGCTAATGAAGATTGCACACTTTCACATGTTTGATGTTGTTAAATTGTGTCATTATCAACAGATTTTTAAAAGTAAAGATTTGAGGGATTTTTAAAATTTAGTTTTTTTTTCTTTATTTTGAGGGAAATGTTCGAGTAGTACAAATTGTGGTTCAGGTATTTTAAGTCCTTCTCTACTGATGGTTAGAAGGTTTGGCATTGTTATTATTCCCACCAGTTTTCCCCCAGATATGTACATAAAATGCTTGGTTTTCAAATTCGTGAAGCACAGGGATATTTGCAAGCAGATTTAAGATTATAATTCAGTTCACAAGCCTGGTCATTTGACCAATCGTTCTGTAGAATGAAAGGTAGACTTGCATGCTTTCTTTTCTCTTATGAAGGTCTTTGAGCGCTTAGATTTTCTTGTTTGACATAGAGAAAAATGACATGTTTTAAATACAGATCATTGGATGGTCTGGATAGAAGTTAGAAAGGAATTAATGTTTGCCAGATGTCTGAAGTTAATCACGGCTTATTTTTAAATGTACTTAGGTAAAATACAAATCTAATTTTGGGGAGATGATGCCTTAGCAGCATAACACCTATGATCCACGTTGTCTTACAGTTGATATGACTTCAGGCTGTTTAGTTTTGTTTTAAATCCTGATAATTGATCATTGCCTCCTGTCTAAAATACTTTTGCTTCTTTCTTCTAGCTGTTAAAAAAGAAAACATATTTTAGCTTTTGAATTGGGAATTAAAGGTATTTAGGGGTTTCTTGATCAACATTGTAGGTGCTATTTAATATTGGCAGAAACTACCACTACCCAAGGAAATTATTCAGGCGTATTCAAAAGAATACTCTCCTTTTTAAAATTATTATTTAAAAAATAAGGACTTTCTTTAGTCCTTATTGGGACTTTGGTGGACCTGCTTGCTGTCAGCTATCCTAGACTGTCAACTGGATGTTTTGCAGCAGCTGCTGAGTCATCATGAAGCAAGGAGCTTCATGATGTGGGCATATTTTATACTAATGTTATTTGATTAAGTGTCCAAGGGTTTCTGGGCAAAAATGAAGCTTTTGGTAGTATAGCAGAAAGTTGGAATAAGAAAGAATGAGAGGTCTGGCGCTGTTAATGGATGTTTGCCAATGCTTGTCAGGCCAACTTGCTAGTGCTGTCACCCAGTACCTGTGACTTCTGCATATGTTCATTTGACTTGTAATTTCCTGTTTTGACTTCTGGGTTTAGCTCTCTTGGGAAAAGCTGTAAATTTACCACTTTCCCTCTTTAACTTCTGATTTTTTTCTTTTCTTTTTTGAGACGGAGTCGCACTCTTTCGCCCAGGCTGGAGTGCAGTGACGCGATCTCGGCTCACTGCAACCTCCTCTGCCTCCCAGGTTCAAGTGATTCTCCTGCCTCAGCCTGCCAAGTAGTTGGGTTTACAGGCGGCCACCACCATGCCCGGCTAATTTTTTTATTTTTAGTAGAGATGGGGTTTCGCCATGTTGGCCAGGCTGTTCTCAAACTCCAGACCTCAAGTGATCCGCCTGCCTCGGCTTCCGAAAGTGCTGGGATTACAGGTGTGAGCCACTGCACCCTGCCCAACTTCTGATCTTTAAAATGTCGTCTTGCTTGAAGTCGTGCAGACAGATTCATTGTCTTGCCCAAATAACTGAAGGGTAATAACTTTTTTTTCTTTTTATTCAACAATGTGTTTCTCCATGAAGGCCTAGGGTAATACTTCTTAAGAATTGTAGAAGCAAATATGAAGAACAGCCCTGAATAATGCAAGCTGATCGTTTTCAGTTACCTTCCCCCCTACCCTTTTACCTTTTTGTCCAGATGCATTTAGCAAATGGTGTCATTTTTCTAGTTGGGATTGAATAGGTTACTGAAGAGAATGTGGTTAGTTCTTGTCTTCCTTTCCCGTTTCCTTTTTGTGCAGATTGTCAGGCACAGAAAGTCAGCTTCTTTAGAGAGATCAAGCTACTTGCTTTTCTTAATAGCCACTGCAACAAACTTGAGCCCATGGGCAAACCAGAACCTTGCCTCTGGAAGAACTACTGCCACCTCCTGGTGAGAGGAAACCACTTATTTTTGCCCTTCTGAATGGGGGTGGGGTGGGGCGGGGCATGTGCTTGCGTGCGCTTGGTTTGGAGTCAAGGGACTCCACCTTTAATTCTCCTAGATATAACTTGTCTTACAAGTCAGTTCCTGCATTTAGCTTTTTCTCTTCCCGTCTTCCCCACCAGACAAAGTCTTGCTCTTTTGCCCAGGCTGGAGGGTAGTTGCATGATCTCAGCTCACTGCAACCTTGGCCTCCCAGGTTCAAGCAATTCTCCTGCCTCAGCCTCCTGAGCTCCTGAGTAGCTGGTATTACAGGCACACTATACCACACCTGGCTAATTTTTGTATTTTAGTAGAGAGCAGGTTTCACCGTGTCGGCCAGACTGGTCTCAAACTCCTGACCACGTGATGTGACCTCCTCAGCCTCTCTAAGTGCTGGGATTACAGGTGCGAGCCAGCCACTGCGCCCAAGGCCTTTAGGTATTTTTTTAAAAGGGGGAGGAAACCTCTTTAAGCTTAGATTTGGGGTCAGTAAACTTTTTCTGAAAGGGACACCGTAAATTTTTAGGCTCTACTGTGGCAAATTGTCCTTTGTTTTAACAATCCTTTAGCAAATGTAAAAACCATTCTTAGCTTGTGTAAAAATAGGCCAAGGTCTGAATTTGGCCCAGCCCACAGATCATGGTTTGCTATACCATGGTTTATATCATA